CTCCGTTCGCAAGTCAAAGCAAAATTTTGTGAACAGAGCTGTTCATAACTCAAAATGTTTGTAGGTCAACACGTCTGTAAGTCACTGCATCCACTTATGAGTCAACAGTGTGATGTGGATAAAAAAACAAATGCTATTTTAGGTTGCAGTAACAGAAGTATAGTTTCCAAATCCCGCAAGGTGCTAGTTCCCCTCTATTCAGAACTGGTTAGGCCTCACCTTGAGTATTGCATCCATTTCTGGAGACTGCACTTCAAGAAGAATGCCAACAAATTCGAACAAGTTCAGAGGAGGACAACGAGGATGATCAGGGGGCTGGAAACAATGCCTTATGAGGAAAGACTGAAAGAATCAGGCATGTTTAGCCTTGAGAAAAGAAGACTGACAAGGAGATATGATAGCACCTTTCAAATATTTGAAAGGCTGTCATACCATCCCAGAGTGCAGGACACGCAACAATGGGCTCAAGTTTAGGAAGCCAGATTTTGGCCAAATGCCAGGAAAAACTTCCTAACTATTAGAGCAGTACAACAATGGAACCAATTACTTTGAGAGGTGGCTAATTTCTCCACGGCTGGAGACATTCAAGAGAAATTTAGAATACCACCTGGCAGATATCCTTTGATTTGTATTCCTGCACTGAACAGGGGGTTGGACTCGATGGTCTTACAGGCCCCTTCCAACTTCATGGTTGTATGATTCGATACCTCCATCCTCTACAATACTAAAAATCTCAATGTCAGCATTTTTCCAATCCTGGCCCTGAGCTTTAGAAATCAGTCACACATTTTTGCTCATCTTTAGAATCCAAAACAGAAGTAGTCCTCAAGGAAGGAAGTTCCAAGTGCCATCTTTTAATTACATCCAGCTGGCAAAGGCTCCATTGTGACCTGATCGTTCATTACCACTTGTTTTATCTTGCCAATAACCACTCCAGACTTTTGCAGATCTCACCCTCAGCCAATCTTACTTCCTGCAAGCCATCTGTACTGATACCATAGTAATATGTAAATTAATAGCTCAAACAAAAAGTGAAGAGTTCTTTCATTACAGTTAGACACAGGTGCAGTCATCATCCTACACGGGTCAACTTTAAAAGTAAAGCGTGGCCAGTGGGTTTCACTAATGCAGCCAGGTCCCTATTACTAGAGCTTAAGACACAAAAGACAGACAGATAAAAACTAAACAAGGATAAGGGAAGGGAAATTTAATAGGCTACAGAAAGTGCAAGAGGTAGGCTTTCAGGAAACTCATGCCAATTTGCTAAGATGGAGATATAAAAATGGTATTGGAAGACAGAAAGGATGATTGATGAGCAGAAAAAAGCAAAAAAAAAATATCTTGTAGCATTTTCAAAGATTCAGTCCTCAAAGACATTCACAAATGAGCAATGATTCATAGAATGGGCAAGCTACTGATCAGAATACAGTGGTTTCTCTTAAGAGATGTAACATTTCCAGACACTGTGAAGACAGGAAAGAAA